AAGACACTTTGACAAGCGAGCATTTCTTTTTGTTATATATCACTTTTGCTTTCTTCAGAGGTAAATTCTCGGTTTGTATAACTCACAAAAAGGGTGAACAACTACTCTGGTTCAACAATGCGACCCCAGAGCAGGGTCAACCCTACGTTGTTACAAGTAACAACGGGGGGGTCGTACCTGGTTGAGTTTGTAGGAGGGGGTCGTACCCACTTTAGTCGCTCGAAATCACGTGTGGGATTGAGGTGAAACTAAGATTTCGTGGGTAGTAGGCTGGGCGAGTGGAGGGCGCGCAGGATAAAAATTTGCCGTTTCAGCGGGCGTATATACCCCCCTAGAAAAGGAAGTAGTGGGAGTATAGGTAAAAATGGGTTGAAATGGCGGAAATAGAAGGAAATTTGGGTTTTGATGGAAGATGGAGATGGTGGAGGTGTGGAAAAGGGGGTCGTATCAAATCCACCTTGGGGGAGGGGGGTCGTAAAAATTTTTCGAAAAGTAACAACGATAGGACAGACCCTGCCCCAGAGTCCAGTCAAGTGGGCGAGTGAATATGGAATCTGAACTGAATATCGTTTCCGCCTCCACATATTTCTAGCGAACACGATTCAGTGCGACAAATATAATATAATAATATCATGGTGTGAATATGACTCAAGCTTGTCGTTTTTTGTTTCTCAGAAATTTTTCGAAATCACTGCATTCCTTCTCAAATTGCAAAATCTTCCTATCGTGACTTCTAGATGATTCTTTATGAATTTTTGAAAAAAATTGACTTGAAGCTTTTCATGTGAAACTATGTATTTTGAAATATTGCACTCTTGTTCGAATCTTGCGCAGACCAGCATAAAATTAGTAACACAACGCTAATATTGGGAAGCCCAGAGCAAGCCGTTCTTGGAACTGAATCGGAGAAGTGCCGCTCGATTTTAATCGTTCGGAGATATTACGAAGACCTCGTAGAACTACTCTAAACGCTCATTGCGAATTTGTTGAAATTTTACGCGATGGCTTTACCCTTTCCGAATACCATCATTTAAAAGAGCTCTGTTTTGCTTTCTAACATTCTAGCACTCCAACCTTCAATGGGGTGTTCACCTCTGTTAATGAACACTTGGTACTCATAGCGTGGTGTAAGGAGCCAGTGCCTAATGTCCTGCATCCATTACACCACCTGTCTTGTCACGTTCACCGACGTGACAGCGTTGGTATCTGCGTCTAAGACGTCCCTCTACTCTCTCGTCCACATCTCCGCCACGGTGCTCCGTGTCTGCAAGATTATCTTTCTCGTAGCATTTCCAGTGTTTTCGTTGCCATTTTTTCCGTGGCAGCCCAACTCGCATCTCTACTTCAGCTTTCAAGGGCGATGTCCTCACCTAAGTGATCGATTACTGTGGCTTTAGGATAAAATAGAGAAAACAATTAGAGTATCGAAATTTTTGTGGATCGTTGATAGGATCGATCGCATTGGTAGCGTTATGCTAGCAGCCATGCACCCACTCGACTATCGCTACGGGTTTATGGCGCAAGGCTGGATGATTTGTTATTTCTCGCAACGGCGCATCCTTCAAAAGATAACAACCCATTGCTGATGTCAACAATAATTCGATAAGAAAAGCAATAGGGACAAAATCGATAAGTCAGTGATGAGTTTGGATTACCGCTACTTCATAACGGGTGCGTTGCAGTTTTCTTCTTCAATTCGGGTCACCCAAAATTGAGGCACCACTCATTTGCTCGAAGCAAGTTTAGGAATTGGCCTAGGCCCAAACTAAAGCTGAGCCTTAACCCATGCTTTAGCTTAGGCTTCAGTAATCGCGCTGCTCGGCTGACCTGACCCCAGGAGGAGAATTGAACGTCTCCCCTTCATACCACTACCAAAATGTACTCTGTTGCAACCAGTTGTTGCGGAATTCCTCTGCCTTTCTATGTGTTCATTTTGTACTAGCCATTCTGTCAGCCGAAGTATAGGAACCGGAGCACAATCTGCAACCGTGGATGAATCAGTGGTGGGACAACGGCAAGTGGCGACACCACCACATGCATGACCTAGTGATCGAATCCCAAAGGTCCACTGGATCATTGAGGAGCCTTCCATTTCTCTGTAGTCAGCCTGTACTACCAGAAGCTATGCCCAAATAGTCTTTCCAAACTATTCCAAAACCATGATGCCAACTCCGCAATGCAGCACCTAGAAAAAATAAGAGCCCTAGTTCAGCCGGGGGAATTTCTCAGGAGAGGCTTTGTCCAGGGAGTGGGGAAAGTGAACGTCTATGTCCTTCTTAATGCGTTCGCCTTCTGTATGTGCTTTTATTTTGCGAACTAGAATGGATGAGTAGGTGGAATTTGATGCGGGATTTAGTCCAAAAAAAATTAAAAATTTCTTCACGGATTTCAGTACCTGAAGGGTGTACTGCTAGCAAGATGAAGATTTCGGACAAAAGCAAAAAAAGCATTTGCCGTTGATCAATCCCTTTTTGGGATGCGGCACGCATTCTACTTCCATTTGTACGTTTGAATGCGATGTGGCCTATACAATGACTTGCGGGGGCCAGCCGATGTACAAGTCAGTGTTTTTATCCTCCCAGACAAGTCTGGTACCAATTAACCGACCCCGGAGGGATGGAAGGCTTGGTTGGCCCGGGCGACTCACGACCCAGGATTTGATCCCGGACCGCTCGCGTGGTAAGCGTGCCACTTGCCACTACACCACTTCCGCCCATTTCGGATAGGTCCCAATAAATAAAGTTGACAAAGTGGCTCACAAATAATGTTTCATTTCGATTATCCGTTCAGTTAACCTGAACGCCATTGTACCTTCCCTTTCAAAAATGAGAAGAGCGTCGGGTGCAGACCATACACCACAAGTGACGACGGCCTCCACAAAATGTAATGTTTTCTGCCAATGAAATGATTAGCCTGTTGCAGTTGTATTCTATCAGTTGTCACTAATTACAACTATCATTTACCAAAAATCAGCTATCACTATGAACCACTACTAACCAGATTTACTTGGAGGCCGTCGTCACTTGTGGTGTATGGTCTGCACCCGACGCTCTTCTCTTTTTTGAAGGGGGGACATGGGTCTTCTCTGTATTCTTATTCCGAGTCCATTCCAATAAGGAGGGGGGGGGGCAAATTGATGCAATAGTGGGCACCACGGTAATCCCAACTCTGGAGGGGAGGAGCTGTGCAGAAAGGAAGCTAGGTGAACATCAATTCTTTTTGAGTTTTTGTGATAAAAATGATATTTGTCGCTTTTTCAAAAACTTTATGTACTCTGCACCAAAATGCCCCTCCCAATAAAATAGACAACCCTATCCATACTTCATTTTGCATAAAGCTTTTATGAGATGTATTGTCCTGAAATCCGAAATCTGTCTGATCTCCAACTGAATTTGCGGGAGACTGGAAAGCGATCGGTTCTGCGGTCGTAGTCGAATGATCGCCAGAGTCGTCCACTTGGTCTTTGAGACCTTGGCCTATGCCCCCTGCATCCCTGATCATCGATCGTGGCGAGCGTTGGAGCTTCCTTTTTTCTTTCTTGTTTTTGTTCTTTTTTAGCTATCCTTCATTGAATCACTCAAAAACGTTAATGTCTACTTGCTTCATTTACTTTATTGTTCAC